ACCACACAGTGTCTGGTCTCTACCATCGTCACCACACAGTGTCTGATCTCTACCATCGTCACCACACAGTGTCTGGTCTCTACCATCGTCACCATCGTCACCACACAGTGTTGTTTAAGTTCGACTCTTGGAGGTCGGAGTGCAATCCAGATGCGAGCTTCCGTGAACGTCACTCAAAGACTCCTCCACGCGCGTCAGGGGCCATTGAGAGTGTCATCCAACACCGAGTTCAACCGCCACACTGCATGCCACGATCACCCACCCACTCACACACTCACTCACCCACTCACACACTCACTCACTATCCCACCCACTCACACACCCGCACGTCCACTCACACACCCGCTCATCCACTCACACACTCGCTCATCCACTCACCCACTCGCTCATCTACCCACTCACCCGCTCACCCACCCACTCACACACTCACTTACCCACTCACACACCCACACATCCACTCACTTACCCACTCACTTACCCACTCATCCACTCACCCACTCGCTCATCCACTCACTCACTCACCCACCCACTCACCCGCTCACCCACCCACTCAATCACTCACTCACTTACCCACTCACACACCCTCACGTCCACTCACTTACCCATCCACCCACTTACCCACTCACCCACTCACCCACTCGCTCATCCACCCACTCACTCACTCACCCACCCACTCACCCGCTCACCCACCCACTCACCCACTCACTCAATCACTCACTCACTTACCCACTCACACACCCACACATCCACTCACTTACCCACTCATCCACTCACCCACTCGCTCATCCACCCACTCGCTCATCCACCCACTCACTCACCCACCCACCCACTCACCCACTCACTTACCCACTCATCCACTCACTCATCCACTTACTCACCCACTCACTCACTCACCCACCGACTCACCCACTCACGCACCCACTCACCCACTGACTCACCCACTCATTCACTCCCTGACCATACGACAGACCACAACAAGACAAAATATCCCCCGGATAGCCTTAACAAACAACCACGTCCGACCGCCTTTGTCTCCCCAGTGGCGATGTTTTTACCTACCGCACCAGCTACTCATTAAAGGCCGAATCGACCTAGGGGAGGCCCAGGACCGATATAGATAATCGTCACCGGCGTTGGCCGTGAGCTGGGTCGCCGGGTTCGTAGCGCAGCGCGCTGACCGCTGGCACCAAGCTCACACAGTCACCCACACACACACTCACCCCCACACACACTCACCCACACACTCACCCACTCACACACTCACCCACACACACACTCACCCCCACACACACTCACCCACACACTCACCCACTCACACACTCACCCACACACACACTCACCCACATACACAATCACCCACATACACAATCACCCACACACACTCACCTACACAGACACTCACCCACACTTACACTCACCCACACACACACTCACCCACACACACACTCACCCACACACTCACCCACACACACACTCACCTACACACTCACCCGCACACACACTCACCCACACACACACACACACTCACCCACACACACACTCACTCACACACTCACACACACACTCACCCCCACACACACTCACCCACACACTCACACTCACCCACTGACACACTCACCCACACACACACTCACCCCCACACACACTCACCCACACACTCACCCACTCACCCACACTCACCCACACACACACTCACCCACACACACACTCACCCACACACACACTCACCTACACACTCACCCGCACACACACTCACCCACACACTCACCCACTCACACACTCACCCACACACACACTCACCCACATACACAAGCACCCACACACACTCACCTACACAGACACTCACCCACACTCACCCACACACACACTCACCCACACACACTCACCCACACACACACTCACCTACACACTCACCCGCACACACACTCACCCACACACACACACTCACTCACACACTCACCCACACACTCACCCACACACTCACCCACACACTCACTCACACACACTCACCCGCACACACACTCACTCACACACTCACCCACACACTCACCCACACTCACCCTCACCCACACTCACCCACACACTCACCACGCCGCAGCTCACCACACTTCTCTTTCCACTTCTTCCCCTGCTCAACTTTGGAATTCCCTCCCCTCCCCACCTCGAGCTCTTATCACAAACAGCCTCGCTCATTCATTCAACAAACACTCCTTAACGCACTCAAAACCATTACGCGTGTCTACTACGTACTTGTATCTATTACACGCTCTTATCGTGCTGCCTGTTGCTGGCCGCCTGACGTTTTTACTTGGACCCTTTGGCCATGCGCTCAGCCACCGAGTATAAATTATAACTATAAATTAGTTTTTTTGTTACGTTAATGTTACCAGGCAAGACCCACTGAAGTCATATATATGTACGTGTAGCTCTTATTCAGAGGCGACCTGGCCACAAACGAGAGCTCATCGAAGTGGCTCGTCGTGTGGACATCCACAGCAGCAGGCAAGCACTCGAAACGAGCGATGCTGATGCTAAATGTGGAATGGAAAAATCGGAGGGACCCGGAGAACAATCCACGCGACCACGGGGAGAGAGAGACACCGCAGACTCCAAATATACAGCAGCAGCAGGCATCGTAAGGGTCAGCATCGAACACACGACCTCCTGTATACCGGGCGAGGTAGTTAACATCTCCTAGCCACCGTGATGATGATAATGAGAGAGAGACACGCAGACTCCAAATATACAGCAGCAGGCATCGTCAGGGTCGGGATCGAACCCACGACCTCCTGTATACCAGGCGAGGTAGTTAACATCTCCTAGCCACCGTGATGATGATGATGAGAGAGAGACACGCAAACCCCAAATATACAGCAGCAGCAGCAGGCATCGTCAGAGTCGGGATCGAACCCACGACCTCCTGTATACCGGGCGAGGTAGTTAACATCTCATAGCCACCGTGATGATGATGAGAGAGAGACACGCAGACTCCAAATATACAGCAGCAGGCATCGTCAGGGTCGGGATCGAACCCACGACCTCCTGTATACCGGGCGAGGTAGTTAACATCTCGTAGGAACCGCGGAGCCCACGGTCTAGCGCTCACCAACATCCAGAGCGGCCGTGGACAATATCGGATGGGAGCGAGGGGGGCCAGAGGAGCGATTGGGGGGGGGGGGGGGTGGGGGAGCTTGGCGCGGGACACTCCGCTCGCTAGCGGCACTACCGAGGCCACACCGAGACCACCCCGAGGGCCACCCCGAGGCCACCCCGAGGCCACCCCGAGGCCACCCCGAGGCCACTCCGAGGCCACCCCGAGGCCACTCCGAGGCCACCCCGAGGCCACCCCGAGGGCCACCCCGAGGCCACACCGAGACCACCCCGAGGCCACCCCGAGGCCACCCCGAGGCCACACCGAGACCACCCCGAGGCCACCCCGAGGCCACCCCGAGGCCACACCGAGACCACCCCGAGGGCCACCCCGAGGCCACACCGAGGGCCACCCCGAGACCCCCCCGAGGCCACCCCGAGGGCCACCCCGAGGCCACACCGAGGCCACCCCGAGGCCACTCCGAGGCCACCCCGAGGCCACCCCGAGGCCACCCCGAGGCCACACCGAGACCACCCCGAGGCCACCCCGAGGCCACCCCGAGGCCACACCGAGACCACCCCGAGGGCCACCCCGAGGCCACACCGAGGGCCACCCCGAGACCACCCGAGGCCACCCCGAGGGCCACCCCGAGGCCACCCCGAGGCCACACCGAGACCACCCCGAGGGCCACCCCGAGGCCACCCCGAGACCACCCCGAGGGCCACCCCGAGGCCACCCCGAGGCCACCCCGAGACCAGCCCGAGGGCCACCCCGAGGGTCACCCCGAGACCACCCCGAGGCCACCCCGAGGGCCACTCCGAGACCACCCCGAGGCCACACCGAGGCCACCCCGAGGCCACCACTCACCAGCTGCGCGTACACCGCGGCGATGTCAGCTGCCGGGTAGGGGAGGAACGCCGCCGCGTAGCCGAGGCTGCCGTACGTGGAGGAGGAGGAGGAGTAGAGACCCAGGAGGGATGCTGCGGTGGCAGCGGCCACGTGGCTGATGGAGCTCCCGCTGGAAGCACCGCCAGCACCACCACCAGCACCTCCACCACCTCCACCACCTCCAGCACCACCAGCAGCAGCAGCACAAGCAGCAGCAGCAGCGGCAGCTGCGGCAGCTGCGGCTGGGGACGCGTGCGTGGCGATGCGAGGCTGGTGGAGTCCTCCCGTCGAGTCGGCGACGCTCATCGCTGGCGAGGAGCTCGCCAGATATTGGAAGCCGAGTTGCGGGAACGCCATCGCTTGCCGCCGCCGCCGGCGACGACGAGGACGATGTTGTTGTTGTTGATGATGAAGTTGTTGTTGTTGTTGTTCTTGTTGTTCTTGTTGATTTGCCAACGGTTTGAGATCACCTTCGTCGGTGTGTTAGGCTGCGCCTGTGTGCAGTGTGTAGCTGTGCAGTGTGTACCTGTGTAGCGTGTACCTGTGTAGCGCGCGTGTGTGTGTGTATGTATCTGTGTAGCGCGCGTGTGTGTGTACCTGTGTAGCACGTGTGTGTGTGTGTGTGTACCTGTGTAGCGCGTGTGTGTGTGGACTTGTGTAGCGTGTGTGTGTGTGTACCTGTGTAGTGTGTGTGTGTGCAGTGTGTACCTGTGTATTGTATGAGTGTAGTGTGTACCGATGCTAGCGTGTGTGTGTGTTTGCTAGTATGTGTGTGTATATCCGTGCAATGTGTGTAAGCTATAGTATATTACACACCTATGCAGCGCGCGTGTGTGTGTATAATGCACACTTCACACACACGTGGTGTGTGTGTGTGTATAATGCACACTTCACATACACGTGGTGCGTACTTGTGTGTGTGTATAATGTACACCTCACACACACACACGTGGCGCGTGTTTGTGTGTGTGTGTATACTGCACACTTCACACACACGTGGTGTGTGTTTGTGTGTGTGTGTATACTGCACACTTCACACACACGTGGTGTGTGTTTGTGTGTGTGTGTATACTGCACACTTCACACACGTGGTGTGTGTGTGTGTGTATATACTGCACACTTCACACACACACGTGGTGTGTGTTTGTGTGTGTGTATAATGCACACTTCACACACACACGTGGTGTGTGTTTGTGTGTGTGTGTATAATGTACACTTCACACACACACACACGTGGTGTGTTTGTGTGTGTGTATAATGTACACTTCACACACACACGTGGTGTGTGTTTGTGTATATAATGTACACTTCACACACACACGTGGTGTGTTTGTGTGTGTGTATAATGTACACTTCACACACACACGTGGTGTGTGTGTATAATGTACACTTCACACACACACACGTGGTGTGTGCTCTGAGTCCAACACGCTCCTTTAAGCACCGTGATGTATATACGTACAAATCGTACGTGCGTTACTATTACTGCAGAATGCAGTGTCTGTGCGTGAATGTGTAATTGTGTCTCTACGTGTGTGAGTGTGTCTGTACTGTGTGTGTGAGTGTGTGTGTGTCTCTACGCGTGTGTGATTGTGTGTCTCTACGTGTGTGTGAGTGTGTGCGTGTCTCTACGCGTGTGAGTGCGTGTGTGCCGTTGTCTCTACGTGTGTCTACGTGTGTGAGTGTGTGTCTCTACGTGTGTGTGTACTCTGAAACTGTGGCAACGCGACTACCTTCCGTGTACCCTGCTAAGTACACGCTCTGTGCTGTCGCACGCGTAGCAATGCGCGCGTGTGTATGTACACAGCGGAATGCGCCCTCCTATGTAACAATACACAGGTGCGTTGTGCGTGTGTACATGATTGTAATCGTGCAAGTTATGCACACGTGTAATTTTATATATATAAAAAAACAATTACTCTTCACATGTGTCGCATGTGTGATACATGTGTGTTTCTGTTGCGTGTGTGATATATGTGTGTCTGTGCGTAATAGATGTGTGTGTGTATGATATGTGTGTCTGTGCGTAATAGATGTGTGTGTGTGATATATATGTGTGTGTGCGTGATAGATGTGTGTGTGTGTGATGAATCGAATGAATATCTGCGCGGTGCACGTGTGGGTGTGGTTCGCTCGTGAAAAACTAACTTCATAAATCGAATGTGGTGGTGGTGGTGGTGGCGTTGTTGTTGCACGGATATCTCTCACGATGAACAAATTCTGCGATGCAGGGCGTCCTTGCTTTTTGGCTATCGGCTACAGCATTCGCCTCGGGAGGAATCGACCGCTGTTCGTGCCAATGATTGACGCTCGAACGAACGAGCGAATTTCGAATCCACACCGACCGATCGCACCCTCTTTCTTCGCGGATATCACAACCGCAAAAAACAAAAATAAAATACGATCAAATGAAAAAAAATGTCAATTTTTGTTTTGTTTTTTTAAAGAAGCCTTCAACGAACTAATTTCCAGGCGCTCGAGTATCGCGATGAGCAAATCACGCGCACCTGAAGCTACCGTCAACGCAGGATCGCACACGCGCGCACCAGCACCAACCAACCAACCAACCCCCCCTACCCTCTACACCTGTAGGAGACACGCACGCGCACGGCCGCGCGTGCGTGAAGTCATCGCCGCTCGCCCAACGAAAGCGGCGCGGATTCACGACCCCTCGCTACGAACAGCGAGCAGCGGACAGCCGCCTCCTAACGATGCCCTCTTGCTGCTGTTGCCACTGCTGCTGCTGCGACTGTTGCTGCTGTTGCCACTGTTGCTTCTGCGACTGCCCGTGACTGTTGCTGCTGCGACTGTTGCTTGCTGCGACTGTTGCTACTGCGACTGCCCGTGATTGTTGCTGCTGCGACTGTTGCGACTGCCCGTGACTGTTGCTGCTGCGACTGTTGCTGCCGCCGCCGCCGCTGCCGCCGCCGCTGCTGTCCGCGTGTCGAGTGCTGAATGAAGCGAAGCTGAAGCAGAAGCAGCGGATAGCTGAGGACGGGGGGAGGGGCGGTGAAGTAGGGGGGGGGGGGGAGGGGCGGTGAAGTTTGTCTTTAGCGTTTAAAGGGACCCCGTGTGCTCCACGCACCCCCCTCCTCCTCCTGCATCACCCCCTACCCCAACATCCCACCCACCACCACCTCCACCCCACCCACCACCACCTCCACCCCACCCACCACCACCTCCACCCCAACCACCACCACCTCCACCCCCTCTTCCCGACGCCACCGCTCCCTTCTCAAGGAAGAAAAGCCAAAGGGAGAGGTAGGGGGATATCCGTGGAAGGCCCCCGATGACCCTCCCTAGATCCACGGGTGAGACATCAGTGGTAGCCCTGTGCCTAACTCTCACTCTGTTATCGAGGGACATCGACGTCAGAAGAAATCCGTGGAAGCCCTAGACCTCACTTGGGCGCCACTGTGACGTGATTGTTTAATATTGCGCCTGGCACGCAGGGGATCGTGGGTTCGATCCCAACCCTGACACCTGCTGTAAATTTGTAGTCTCTCTCTCTCTCTCTCATCATCACGGTGACTAGAAGACGTTAACTACCTCGCCTGGTGTACAGGAGGTTGTGGGTTCGATCCCAACCCTGACGCCTGCTGCTGCTGCTGTATATTTGGAGTTTGCGTGTCTCTCTCTCATCATCATCACGGTGGCTATGAGACGTTAACTACCTCGCCTGGTATACAGGAGGTCGTGGGTTTGATCCCGACCATGACGCCTGCTGCTGCATATTTGTAGTTTGCGTGTCTCTCTCTCTCTCATCATCATCACGGTGGCTAGAAGATGTTAACTACCTCGCCTGGTCTACAGGAGGTCGTAGGTTCAATCCCGACCCTGACGCCTGCTGCTGTATATTTGGAGTTTGCGTGTCTCTCTCTCTCATCATCATCACGGTGGCTAGGAGATATTAACTACCTCGCTTGGTATACAGGAGGTCGTGGGTTCAATCCCGACCCTGACGCCTGCTGCTGTATATTTGGAGTTTGCGTGTCTCTCTCTCTCATCATCATCACGGTGGCTAGGAGATATTAACTACCTCGCCTGGCACGCAGAAGATCGTGGGTTCGATCCCGACCCTGACACCTGCTGCTGTATATTTGTAGTTTCTCTCTCTCTCATAATCATCATCACGGTGGCTATGAGATGTTAACTCTCTCGGAGCGTCTTTCTCTCTCTCTCTCATCATAATCATCATCACGGTGGCTATGAGATGTTAACTCTCTCGGAGTGTCTCTCTCTCTCTCATCATCATCATCATCACGGTGGCTATGAGATGTTAACTCTCTCGGAGTGTCTCTCTCTCTCATCATCATCATCACGGTGGCTATGAGATGTTAACTCTCTCGGAGTGTCTCTCTCTCTCTCATCATCATCATCACGGTGGCTATGAGATGTTAACTCTCTCGGAGTGTCTCTCTCTCTCTCTCCCATGTGGCCACGTGGCGTTTTTTTCGGGTCCTCTGGGGGTTTTTTTCCCCCTCCGCATTCAGAAATCGACATCACGCGTCTCGAGTAAGCGGCTTGCCGCGATGCTCAATGTGACGACGATGAGCCTATTCGTTGAGCAATCGTTCGTGGACAGGTTACCCTCTGTGAAAGTTAAGCGCAACATTGCTCAGTGTACCCTTATCTGGTGCAAAAATTAAACAAAAAAAAATATTCGTTTAGTTTCGTAGGAATAACAGCGGACACTCTCTCGTCGAAGTTTATCCACGAATAAGCGAAATCCGCGGAAGGCATAGATCTAACCCTCATATGGGGGGGGGGGCGTACATCATCAAGGAATGCATCTCCGGAAGTCATTAACGAGACCCATCCCTCCGCAGCCTTCTTCTTCACGAGGATCAGATCCAAAAAAAATCCGCGGAAGCCCCGAAACACAAAGCAGGCCGAGTTGCGGCGACAACAGCGGGAACTGTGGGCGGAGAAGTGTCGCCTCCCTCTCTCTCTCCTTGTAAAGGCGATCGAGAATCCGACAACGCAACTGCCGCACCCCGACAACAAGCAGACCCCCACGAATAAGAAAAATCCGTGGAAGCCCAAAACACCCCCCCCCTCTCTTTATGGGGAAAAAAAATCCGTGGAAGCCCTAACCTACTCCCCCCCTCTCTTTACGGGAAAAAAAATCCGTGGAAGCCCTAACCCCCCCTCCCCCCTCTCTTTATGGGAAAAAAAATCCGTGGAAGCCCAAATCTACCCCCCTGTCTCTTTATGGGGAAAAAAATCCGTGGAAGCCCTAACCCCCCCTCCCTCCCCCCTCTCTTTACGGGAAAAAAAATCCGTGGAAGCCCTAACCCCCCCTTCCCCCCTCTCTTTATGGGAAAAAAATCCGTGGAAGTTCCAACCATCCCTGCGGAGGGATCCGGCATCCGCGACTCTCCCTCGGCACTGTTCCACACAAGAGAGAACCGCACGAAAGAAATCTGCAGATGCCGTTACTTTAACCATCTCTCTCTCTCTCCCTCCTTCCCTCCCTCCCTCCACCTACGTAGCTCCACTTTTAGTAAGTAGGAACAAGCACCGATAAGAAATCAGTGGATGCCCTAAACCCTCCCATCTCGCCTCACCCCACAGTCTCCCTTGTTAAAGGAGAG